AAAGAAATAGAGATGGATCGAAATCTGAAGTAAAAACCAAATCCAAACCGAAACACAAACATGTTTAACTCAGAAATGATTTGCGGCAAGAAAGCGAGATCGAGCGAAATTAGTAAGAGGTAGAAGACAACGACGTCGTTTCTCATCCTTTTATTCTTCCAAAAGATTTTTTACGACCTCTGTTTGTCTTCTGGTGATCTGGGTTCTCGTATGACATGGTTGTATTCGGGACCGTCTTTGAGATAGAGCGAACTGTGCCGCTTATGAAGATGTGGGCTTTCTTCATAGTCCATATAACCTTCTTCTTTCTTTTTCAGCCATCCTTTTTTTTCCTTTACCATGTTAATTGTGTTTAAGAGGATGATGGGCTTTTGAGGCCCATATGATTCCTACAGCTTTCATGTTAATACCCCCTCTGTTTTTTTTCTTTAAGTGATAAATTATTTTTATTTTATTTTATTTTATTTAATATCGTAAATATTCTGCTAACAGATTGTATATATACATATATTATTTTGTAAATATTTTTTTATATATATTCATTTTTCTTTTAGAATTTATATATGCCTTTTATTTTCTAAGTTTTTGTTTTTACAAACATTTCTTTTAGAGACTCTTTTTTTTTCTTTTTTTAAAATTGAATTTTATTCTTCATTTGTTATTGAGCATTTTGTCCCATTTTCCCGTTTTGGGTCGATGACGAGACCTCCGTAATTCATTACCAGTCAAGTTATTGATGAGTAATGTTGGATCTGAAAACACCTATTTTCTCTCTTCGTTACTTGTCCCGACTTGATTCAAAAACTTTGTCAAACAATTTTCACAATCAAATTATCTTTGTATTGAATTAAAAAGAGGGGATTAAGTGTAGACTTTCTTCCTCTCCGGGTGTTGGGATGCCCACTGTAGTGAGGGTGGTTCTGACACTCGTTTTTCAATACGAAGACGTTTCCCGTCCATTTTCAAATCTCATCTCCTTTAAATCGTTTCTTTGTGTTGAGTTAAAAAGAGGATTGGGTGTAGACCTCTTCTTCTTCGAGCGTAAGGATGCCCACTGTAGTGAGGGTGGTCTCGATGCTCATCTATCAACACAAAGACGCTTCAGACGTTTCCTCATAAAACCTCGGTTTCGTGCTGAGTATACTTTCCATAATAAATCAATTTCTCTTTGTATTGAATTAAAAGAGAGGATTAGGTGTAGCCCCCTTCCTCTCCGAATGTTGGGATGCCCACTGTAGTGAGGGTGGTCTTGATATTCGTCTTTCAATACGAAGAAGCGACTTTATCCACCATCTCCTTTCACAACTTCATCCCGCAACCCTTGTCACCTAAAACCTCGGTCCTGTACCGAGTGCATTGTCAAATCTTTTCATCACAAAAACTTGAATGGTCGTGGAGTGGTTAGGCGTAGGCCTTCTCCTATCCCGAGTGCTGACGTTTACCGTAGGGTTCTCTGTCGCAAAAAGCACTTACCATTCAAAACCAAAAACACTTTGATAAGAGAATGAAGTTCTCTTTGTGTTGAACTGAAGAGAGAGGATTGAGTGTAGTCTTCTTCCTCTCCGAGTGTCAGGATACTCACTGTAGTGTGTGTGGTCTTGATACTCGTCTTTCAATGCGAAGACGCCTCGTTCGCCACACCTTTTTTTATAACAAAAGCTTTGAGATAACGAATTGGGTACTACCCGTAGGGGTTACTATCTGAGGACCTGTCTCGCCCCTTAAAAACAACCCAATCAATCAAATGCGACTTCCTGCCTCGAGTGGCGAAAACCTAATCAATCTTTCAAAAAGGATATGTTACGTCCGTTCTACCGCAAACAGGTAACGCCTAAGTCTCCAACGAGCGAGCAGCGAAACACCTAACTGCTAGAATGCGCACGATAGCATCATTCATAAAAAAACATCAACACACCGTAGGCCGAACTACGGCTGCTCTGATTTCTCATACCAAATGAGAATACGTAGGCACAAGGGCCACAATCCTTGGCGAGCACAATCCCCCCTATCACCCGTAGTTTCCCGAACTACGTCGACTCTGACTTTCTCATATCAGTTGAGAATACGTAGGCCTAGGACCGCGAAGTCCTGCCGAGTCTGTTCTCTCTCTTTTCTTTCCTCCGTTACGTCTCTTTCCCCGTTTCTAAACCCTTCTCTATATCTTTCGGAACAACTTTTTAGCATAATATTCAAGCAAATAAATTCACACATCGACAAACAAAAGGTTCCCATCGAGTACGATGGATGCGAGGGGTGCTAATACCTTCCCCTCGCATAACCGGCTTCCGAACCCGTTCTTGGTCGCGAGACCATCTTATCCATTTCTTTTCTTAAGGTTTTCTCGATATTTTCCTTTCCCCTCGTGGGATAAATAAAGTTCGGTGGCGACTCTTCTGTCCTTTCTTCTTCGCCTCCCCGTCGTTGCACGATGCATTTTTCGAGTAGCGACACCTGGTTGCAAGTTTTTCCACTATATGCAGTTGATAAAGATGCATGAAGAAAGCTAGTTTGTTTCTTGAGGTTATAAAGTTTGTTCCAAAATGGAGATTTGTGATATATTGGATCAAACTCTAGTATTGTTGACAGAGGATTAACATGTTGTCGAAGCCTACTTACATGATGTTGTCGAAGACCTACATGTTGTAGTCAAGATGTGTTCTAGTATGTAGTTGTCGAATTGAGCCTTGTGTTAAGGATCCAATTATTTAAGTTAGCTTGTAATGGGTCATTGTTAAAAAAACTCATTAGTTTAGTATGATAGGTTTTATTATAAATAACATATTAGTCTCTCATCTTTAGTGTGGCAAATTCTAATTAGGGTGAGGGAGTTATTTGTGATTCTTAAGTACTTGTAATTTGATTGACAGAGAAAGTAAAAAATAACAGTTATAATCAATCCTTGTTGTTCTTATTCTTGTTTTTTCTTTAATCTTAACATTTGTGTGTATCTTAATCATAAAGAAACTATTTATACTTTATTTCAAGATATCGTTTTTCACAACAATACCCTTGAAGGTGAGGATTAGTTTATTGCTAGATGCCGATGCAACATGGCTAAAATATGGAACTCATGTCGATCCACTAGGAAGTATGATTCTCCGATGTGAGTGAAGTGTTACATGCTTCGAGTATTATGTATGTTGATATGAAGCACAATAAGCTTCAATGTGTTGTGTTGTGTTAAGTACGAATGTATAAGACTTGTGGTTTCGTTGTGTGCGGTGTTTTATCATGTAAAGTCGAGTGGACCTATAAGATAGGGAACTCCAATGAGATTCAATAATCTCATCCTATGTTATTGTATATATTTTCAGGTGTAGGAAACTCCAATGAAATTTAATAATCTCATATCATGTTATTGTATATATTTTCAGGTGGTTACAATAAAGATAAAGGTGAAGGCAAGGCGGCCTATGCATTGGATTGATGTAGCGGCCTATTTTCGTTGTTTTTAGGTATTATCTTGTTTAGATTTATTTTGGCATGACGTATACATGTACTTTCGTTGTATTTTGTTTTTACATGTATAACATTATCATATTAGATGACTTCGTACCAATATTAATATCCTCGTGTTATGATTCTAGAGTCTTATAATGTGTGGGGTATTACACATATTTTCGTGGAATGAACTAAGGTTTGAAGCCTTGATGCATGCTCAACAATTTGGGTAACTACTTTGCTCTTTGATATTTTATTGAACTTTGATTCCTAACTTACACCTTGAATCTTTTAAATACATATAGTTTTGGGATTTGAATTATTCAAAAGATTTAAGATTACGGATTGCAGTTCTACAACCGCATCCTATAGAGGTAAATCTAAAGCTTGAGGAGAACATTGAAGAAGACTGAGGACTCCACAATTTTCATGTTAATATATTCTTTGCAGTTGTACAGATGCACATATTCATGTTTGCTCCTAGACAACTATGCTTATGGCATAGTTGTAGGGTTTCTTGCACTCTAAGAAAATAAAAGAGATGAAACTAAAAGAGAAAATGAGGAACTTGTGTTGTATCGATGATGAAATGTGATATTCATTCAAGATATATTATACATAGTAGCTTTCATAACAAGTCATTGATCTAGTCTTAACTAACTACCCTAACAATATAACATTTGAAGTGTACATCTGAATTATACAATAACAATAGTGAGCCTAGGAAATGAGTTTGGAAAAATTGTGTAGAGAAAAAGGAGAGGTGAATACAACATTCAGGATAAAGTGGCAAAAATAATTGCATTTATCTGGGTGTAAGAAATATAAGACATGTTTAAATTAATTAGAAGGATAATTGGGTAGAAAGTGGAAACTTAAAAGACCTGTTTCATGGACTTTATATATAGTGTTGCATCTAATAAGCAAGAGTGAGTGAAATGCATTACTTACAAGATGGTGGTCATGAAGAGAATGCAACATTAGGAAGAGGTATACTTTAGAACAACAATTTCTAATAATGTGGCTTGTATGTGTTTGGCCTATTTAGACGGAGAGAAACATAATGGTTTTTGAGGGTAAATATTAATCATGGAACATGTTAGCTACTAGAACTAAAAGGGTTTGAGTATTCAATATTTTGAAGGTGTTTAAACATGTTGTCTGTGTTTCTCTAGTTAGCTCATGGCTGTTTACATGCTGCTGATATTTATGTTATGCACAATTATTAACAATCTGTGCAAACTCTTCAAAAACAAAACAAAATGTGCAAACCATGATCAAATTCTGTTGCTAAACTTTTGCTCACACGGGTTAGCGGATTCGATCTGCCTCTCTCTTTCCTGGGCCAGTCTCATCATAACATTCTTTCTTTTTCTATACTAATACTATTGAATTAATGACAAAGCCCCTAAAACTGAAACTAAGGAACTAAGAATGAAGTGTGAGTTACAGCCCGGTGACGGTGTGTTGTAATCAGAATATATTTGTAAAGAAGTTACTATAGCAATCTACAGCTAGGTAGTATTCAAGCTCATTCCCTTATCTTGAGTTTGTTTGTGTCACAAAATACTCTGAAGCTGCTTTTGCAACTGTGCTTTTAATTGGTGGTTAGAATCAACATCTCTACATACATTTTCTTTCTCAGCAAGTAGTCTCAACCTTTTCGCTTCAGCAGCAGCTATCTCCGAATTACACGAGTTCCTTTTGTTGCCTTTGAGATCCATGTAAGAAGACCTCAACTGAAAACCAAAAACAAGAAAAGGAAAAAAAAATCACTTTCAAATACTATACAATTCACCATATTGATCATATTATAATATAACATTGTTACAATTAACTTCATAGAGATCGAAAGCTAGGAATGCTCAACCAAAATCAATTGAAGAACATATATAGCATACCGTAAACATACATATCAATTTCTGTTTTACTTTCTAATTTTAATCATGTCATATGTACATAAATGCACAACAACTATAAATAGTATATGGTGCACCGACTCATACTCCACAGATACGACACCGACACGGACTCAAGATACGACACCAACACGAATAAGTCTATGTATATATCAATAACAATTTACCTCATTGACTCCATTCCTCAAACTCTGAACTTCCAATTCACATTTCACTACAAAATCGCAAGCCATTTGCTTGAATTCCTTCATTTCCAACTTCTTTACTTCATAAAATCCATCTTTCATTTTGTGCAACTCTTCAAGCTCCACCACCTCGTTCTGCATTGACCTAGATAGTAAAGTATCGAAACTCTCAAACTCAATGCAATTAAACAAGAGGAATTAGGTTAAACACTACACCAATTGCTACAATTGCATACCTAATTTCTTGCGAGAGGGAATCATATTTGGCTTCGAGATTCTCAATCTGAGACTTGAGAGACAGAATATTGAAATTCTGCGACGCTATTTTACGATCAAACAGCAAACACCTCTGTTCCATGGCTCTGATATTTGAAAGCTTCGAGGCTAGAACACGAGATTTGTGAGCTTGCAACTCTTTCTCGGCCTGGAAAATTTGGCATGTTGGTATATGGATTTTGATTCAGATTTGTTGGAAAAGAAACAAGTAGAGATGAAATTGAAGTGAACCTGGAGTAAGGAGAGACGTTGAATTCGAGTACGGTCCATTTGTTCGAGTCGTTCATGAAATGATGAGGAAAACGCCATTGCTGCGAAAAACAAGTCACAGAATCTTTGTAGAGTCACTCACACAGTGAACGGGGAAGACGGTAAATGGAGCCTATCCCTTTTCCCTCTCAATATTATTTCTCAATTTTCAAATTTGAATTTTTTTTATTTGTGCAATCTAAAAAAGTTGGGTAATTTTATTAAGGGGATTGCTATTAAAAAAATTAAGATACTTGAAAGTATATTTTTCACACATGAGACGAAAATAATGAGAAACTCTTATTTTGTTAAAATTTAGTTCAGAAATGCATCTCCATATATATAAAGTTAATTTTAAAGTGCATCCATGTAGTTTTCTTAGTTAGACTATGAGCTTCTAGAGATGCATTTACAAAATATGTTCTGCTAGTTCAAAGTAGAAACATGTAAAAACAATGGCAGAATAAAAAAGCAACATAAATTAACATTAAAATAAACATTACATAAATAAACATTACATAGATTTAACATTACATGTCATTAAAAACAGGTGGTTCAGGATGTTCCAACATTCTTATAATATCTTCAGTTGATCCTTGAATCGTCGCATCCACTTCATTCAGACATTTTGTTGAGTATCGGTAAAAGGTACTTCAGATAACCTTTAAATCGTCATATGTCTTCAGTTCAAGATGATGAACTATATCTTCCATTTGTTGTCAATCGAGGGTGAACGGTACTCGGGCTTGACAACTCTCTGATTTTCTAAATATTACATGAGAATATTTTGTTTGATTTTCAGATCGACAAAAAATATGTCTTTACATATCCGAAATTGAAATGGAAGTTTTGCGCCATTGAAATACACAAATGCGAGATAGATATATGTAATCTTTCTGGTTTGTGTAAAAAATGGAATGAGAGACTTTATTTATAGAAGTTATATATCAATAAGGACCTTACTCGATCATATCTACAAGAAAGACTTCAGAGATACACATCTGGATCCACATTTTTTTTCTTCAAAAAATAAGGGTTTATCCGAAGATGCACATCCGTTAGTCCCCTGTTTTACTTTTTTAAATAACTTCAAGGTGTATCCGGAGATGCATCTCCGGAACCACCCAAAAATTATGCATTACATAACCAATTGATTATGCATAGCAAACTTTCAAAAGACAAAAATTGTTCAAAAAATACCATCCAAATTTATAAAATTATGCAATGCGTTACATACCAAAAAATGTGTTACATTGTTAGGTTACAACTAAAATGCATAAAAACATATGTCACTGCCTAAATCTATTGGTGGTTCATTCTTCGATCTTTCCTTATTTCATTCTCTTTCAACGTCGCTCAAATAGGTGAACTCTTTCGTCCTTGCTAAAAAGTTATCCGACCAAGTTTCAGCATCTTGTGTGAAATGTGTCATCGACTCCAATGATGTCTTTGGTATAAGACATCCCAGTTTCAAATAAAAACCTGAACAAAATATTATTTTTTTATAGCCAACAAATAAATATGATGCTTTCTGATGGATTTTGAGGTGGCTTACTCCTAAGTGGAAATAATGTTTATGAGAAACCATATTATGTTAAAGCAATACACACCCTATCATAAGCACTCGTTATAAGGTGACAAATTCCCAAGAAGCGCATCAATTTTTCAAACGGAGCCGGACCCGTAAGACAAAGAACTAAAGCATTGAGGATTGCATTATAATTTGCTTTGTTCCCATATAGCTTTGTGTATGATTCTCTATGCATCGTCATCTATTATATAAGATGACGACGAACAAATCGGTATTCGTTCTTTCCCTTATCGAGCAAACCCGAAATAGCTTAAAAATCATAGTTGTCGTCACTTCCGACATCTACAAACTGCTCAATATATTTGTGCATAAAAAGCAACATCTCTTCAATGTGTTTGATTTTTGGTAAGAGTGGTGGAAGAGATGGTTTTCTAATGCGAGCACCCGCGAAAATACTCTTTTAGGATTTTGAGTCGAAGAATCCGAAAAGTGTAAGTCAACATGTTCAAACTATGAAAGAATCTATCTCGTGGAGTTGTCACTTTGTGTCAGGTTGACCTTTTTAGGGGCGCCCTTTGTTTTAACTAGTTCTGACGATGGTTTCAAATATGTTGTTTCTGGATATGCAATTTTCTTAATTTTTCTTTGATATGCAATTTTATTATGTCATCGGCTTTCATGAATCTCTCTTTGATCACTTTCCATTCGGTCATGATAGATATGTTTAATTTATCATCCTTCATCACATTGTCATCATCAAAACAAAGTATTTTCTAATGAGTGTAAACTTCATCCATATGTATTGGTTTTTCAAGCTTCATATTCTTTGAAATTAAACAAGCACGTGGAAGACTATAAGTCTTCCTAAGTATACATCCACACTTTGAGCTATCTTAACTTGTTTTATCAGCTCGCTTGGCTTCGTGAGAAATAAAATAAGAAGTGGTTTGAGATACGTCGCCAACCAATTGTGAATAAAGGATGTTGTCTTTGAATCGATGTTTTAACTCAATTATACTCCGACCAAAAGATATTTCTATCTCATTATGTTGGTTTCAGAGAATTTGGTTCACGACATCCCAATATCGACAAAAATCACCTTTATTGTTTTCCAAATAATTCTTCAGTCTAGCATGTTGAGATTCAAATTTGTTAGTTGTTGTATTGATAGAGTGTTAAACCTGACCGGTCTATGCACAAATAATATTCTCTTTAACCTGGTCTAGAATAGTGCCTTCAACATATTTCAACAAATCTGGATATATCGCACACACACTCCTGAAATGTAGAACATAGTCGGTATATAATTCTTCCGGGAAGAATTTACTATAGAATTTCATGCATCCATTATATTTTCCATCACCACACCAGGTTTGACAAGTTTTCCATTTTCACGTTTGACTTATTTCGTGCCAACCGCAGGTTTTACTCGACTTCTCACATTTTGGTTATGTAATACTTACAACACCTCGAAATTTGATTAATCTAGTTAATCAAATTATTCGTATGAGTAAGTGGTGAATGGTGCGGTGTAATGAGAGTATTGGTGGGTTGGTAGAATGATTAAAATGATTAGAATATTTAGAATTAATAATTATTTTTAATTAATTTATTAAAATAAATAGAAATAGTGGTTTTGGATGGAAAATAGAAACTAAAGAGAAATAAGGGAAACAATGAGAATTGTGAGATGAGTTGGGCCAAAGTATAATTAACAAAAGTTTAAATTAGGTTTTTAGAGATAAAAAGGGGGTTATGGAGCTTTGAGAAAAAAAATACTTAAAGTTAGAGTTTTGGGAGAAAAGGAGGCTAAGGCCTGAAGAGGGAAGAACTCAAACCACCAACCTTAATCAAATTCAGATTTTGGCTAGAAATCTAAGGTAAGGGGGGAAAGGGTTTCTATATGGGTGTTTTTCATGAAAGGGTAAAGAAGGGAGACCCTTACTCTCTTTAGGAATTGTGTGAAATCTTTTGTGAATTGATGTCGTTGCATGACAATCTGAAAATTTATAATCAAATGTGTTATTATCTGATTTTTGTGACCAAATTCGCATGTGTTTGATTCTGTTTATGCGTTTATAATTTTATGTCATTGTTGGAATTTTTGAAGCTTTGTACATAAACATGAATTTCATGAAATTGAGGAATAAAAGTGTGTAAATCTGTAATTTATCATGTTATAATGATGATATTGTATGTAGTATATTTTCTGGACGTGTTAGGGATTGTTGGGAGCCAAAATTGGAGTTTCAAGAGAACTCTCATAGCCAACTCACGTTTTTTCATTCTGGTGCAGGGTGACGGGTGTCACCTAGATGATAGGTTGATCATCACACATCTTAAGACGTTGACGGGCGTCAGCACTATAACGAGGAGACTGTCATGGTCTACAAGCTTGGTTTTTCAAGCATGTCGTCATTATAATTATAGTTTGGAATTTTAACAGGATGACGGGCGTCAACCTGGTTATGGGCCACCTGTCATGCTGTCAGATAGGGGTGTTTTGTACCTGTTTACGTAGTTTGAGCTGTCAGTTCAGAATTTTGAGGTTATTTTGCAATTTGGTCAATAATTGGCTATTGTTTGGTTTTATTGGTGTTTTAATTACTTATTATGAGCTAAATTAATAATGGTGGGACTATTATTATTTGATTATAATTGAATTACTTAAATTGTTGTTAAGTGCGTGATGTAGCAATTGTATGTGATGTATATGATATTGTTTTGTATTGTTGTGATATGTATGATTATATTCTGATTAATCATATGTTGTTGATATAATGATAAATAGTTCAAAAAGGGTACTATTTATATGCTTGTATTCATTATTATTATTATTGTTCGATAGTAGTTCAAAAGGGAGAATTACTATTGAATGTCAATGCATGTTGTTTACAGTCAGAAGGGGGGTCGTAGGTATTGTTATTGTTGTTGCATTGATTGTATCGACATACATCATTGTGTCGTGCCGTTCAAAAAGACATGTACACTAGTTCAGAAGGGGGGACTAGTGGTTTGTCCCAAGCTAAGAAGGGGGGCTTAGATCTTAGAAGGGGGCTCATGGGTTCAGAATGGGGGACCCGGTTCCTGAGAGAACCAAATGTTGAGTTCATACCATATGCATAATGTCACGTTGTATCGTGAGTCATATTGCATATATTTGTATATTTTTATGAATGGGTGTGAGAATATGATGATGTTGGTTGTGTATTGAATGTATGATATTTATGTGTTTGTCTACCTTTGCATTCTTTTCAATGTTTTATATCAAAGTTTATTTCTCACTCATTTTGTTCAATTTTGTCCACCATGGACATCTTGCAAATAATTGGGAGTAAAGTTGATGTTGCATGTGGAAGGTGGCTTGTTGGAGCTATCTTCATTTATTTATTGTTTATCGCAATTTAGTGGTTTTACTGCTCTGATCTTGTGACATCAGAAACGAGGCATTTTTTCTATGTTTTGAGTTGTTGTTGAATTATGTGGCTTAAAGTCTAATGCATTAATTTCTAAGTTTAATTTTGAAGTT